TATTGTTATTTTATATTATTATCTCCTTGCTCTGTGTTGACATTGAAAACCTCAGTTATAACATGACCATTATATGTAATTCTGTATATTATATATATGTATTCTGTATATATTATACAGAATACACATTATATATCACATATTATATATGTATCCTGTGTGTATATATATATATGTATATATATAAAAATATATATTATACAGGACACACATTATATATCACATATTATACATGTATCCTGTGTGTGTGAATATATATATATGTATATATATAAAAAATCAAAGGTCAGCTATAACTGAGCATTACATAAGGTTAAAATTTATGGGTTTAACAAAAAAAAACCAAAAAACCACACTTACTTCTTGCCAGTTGGCCAAAATATAACTTATCTTAATAAACATTTCATCTACATGAAGGTTTACAGAACCCTTCAAGAATCCAAAATGTGAGTAACCACGTATTTTTAATTGCTTGGTAATTTAAATGCTGCTCAAAGACTTGCTCTAGCTAAGAAAGACCTGCTTGGCAGAAAATTTTCTGGGCATCAAATCTGGCCTAAAATGTGCAGATGAAAAAATAATCAAATATTATTTATCAACTGTCATGGAAGCCTAAAGTTTATGCAGGATGAAAGGGCATTATATGGGCAGATTAAACAGCCTCCAGTTGTAAATGTCACCATATCTGAATGCCTTTTTTATTTATTTTATTTATATGTTTTATTATTTATTTCCTTACTCACCTCAGTATTTGGGTTTATCTACGAGTCAATTTTATTTAGTGCTGCTTGGCCTCTTCTGGTTTAATACATTTTCATAACCAAACAGAACCTGTTCATCAAAGATTTTTTAATGAACAGCCTCATGATGAATTAGGAAAACAGTCAAGTTCTCTGGGAATTTTGTCTTTCCTGTTTTGGTATTCCTGATGTCCTTGCTCCAAGATCATTTTAAACCCCCCTTTCACCCACTATCTCCAAACTCAATTAATCTACTGAGGTGTTCAAATTTGAGCCCACAGCACCTGGAAAAATATGATCCCACCTGGCCCAAGAAGGGGAATAAGCAGGTTGCAAAGAATTTTGGGATAAAAATCGCAGGACAACTTCAAGTCCCCCTGGATGTGCAAAAGGAGGAGTGAGGGGGAAAAGCAGACACTGAGTTTGATAAACCAGATATTTTTTTAGCAAGAGGAAAAGGTTGGACTTTATGACTTAGAAGATCCCTTCCCAGTGAAGGGTTTCCATGGGGCATTAAATATAGTTCAGGGAGGGTTGTTCCTGCAGGATATGGGAAGAGAAGACCTCCAGCTGACACCTCCTTGTTTTCCTTGCCTGCTGAAAGGGTGAGAAGTGGGAATGAAGGAGGATTTCATTTATTAGCCATGAAGATCAGTGGCTCCATTAGGAAACCTTTGCAGGCTCAGGCTTTATTTAGGAAGGGTATTTCTGGCAATGGTGGCAACTGTCCCTCTGCTTGGACACCTTCCTTTCCATCCCCACCCCGACACAGCTCAGGCTTCCGAAAATCAACCCAGAGGCTGAAATAGCCCCGGGGTGTGTTTGGCTCTAGGGAACGGGAGCATGTTTGGGAATCCAACACCAGAGCCCAAAGGGTGTCACCCTGCAGTTGTCCCCCATGAATCAGAGCTGAAGCCATGGGCTCTGGGGGAATCCCAGGGATCAGCCCGGGAAGGAAACCCCCCCTCAGTGACCGATGGGTACCACGTGCTTCCCTCTGCATTCATCCAGGGCTTTGTCTGGGGCAATTTCTGGGAGTGGGTTTGAGCTCCTCCAGCAAAAGGCAAGTGTTTGAGGCATCTCTGAGGGTGGGATGAAGAACCCTTGGCTTAGGTGCCCTTTCAGGTGGGTCCAGCTCAGTGACACACCAGAGCTCCTCACCACCCACTGCTCTTACCCTGAGCTCTCCTTCCTGCTGACAGACACTCCCAGTCCTTGAGGAGCCAGGGAACAACAACCAAAAATGCCTGGCACCTGATTTCATTCCCTGAAGAACCACATCTGCTTAGGGTTGGGACAGGGATTCTCCCCTGTGAGGGGGGACAGGTTGCCCAGAGAAGCTGTGGCTGCCCCTGGATCCCTGGAAGTGTCCAAGGCCAGGTTGCACAGGGCTTGGAGCAACCTGGGCTAGTGGGAGGTGTCCCTGCCCATGGCAGGGGGTGGGATGAGATGAGCTTTAAGGTCCCTTCCAACCCAAACTATTCTGGGATACACGGACATGGAGCATCCCCCACCAGCACCAGCGAGTTCTGCCCAGGCTGCTGGGGGTGCAGCTGCTCCAGGAGCCACAAAGCCCCCTGAGCACAGCACACAACCCAGTAAAGACCTGAGTAAAGTTCAGGCTTGGGTGGACATCCCCCTTGGGAGGAATAATCCCACATTTGCCTGGAGAAAACCTTATTCCAGGCACTTTATGGACAGTCCCCGGCAGGGAAGCTGAGGCTGAGGGGTTTTGGGTGCTGGCTGGGCTATCCCTGTGTGGTTCCAGGGAAGGCTGGGGTGGCCTGTGAGGCAGGGGGGTGGTACCTGACGATGAAGTCGGAGTGGGCACTCTGCATGATCTGCTTCTCGGAGCGGATGTGCTCCTGCTGCCGCGTGTCCACGATGTGACGCTTCTTCAGGATCTTCATGGCGAACGTCTTCGACTCCTCGCTCTTCAGCTGGACCTGGGGCACAGCAGGGAACACCAGGCTCAGAAACAGGGCACACGGGAGTCCAGCTGCCTGGGGACCCACCCTACCTCCCAGCAACCCCACCACCCAACCCGCCTCACCTCTCAGCCATCAGCTCCGCTTTGGGACGAACCCGGTCTTTCTAAAGACCCGGCTTACTGCTAAAGCCATTCCTAAAACGCCCCATTTTTAGGGGGAAGCCAACTGTTGGTCAGGAGATTGTTGCTAGTTAACATCCAGAGCCTTTTCCCACAGCCAATCAGAACTGGCTCTGGCAGGGAACAGCAGTCCTTGGATGTTGGCAGAGGATGAGCAGACCTGGCTTTTCAACAGCACTGCCCGGGCACGACTTTACTTTTAACCTTAAGCCTCCACAGCCTATTTTTAGCCTGACTGCCCTGACGAGGTTGGCAGGGGCTGTTTGCTTGTTTGCTGGTGTAGCCCTGGCAACTCCTGCACCCTGAGCCACTCCCAGGGACAGGTACCTCTCCCAGAGCTGGCTGGATGGTGGCCAACCCTCCAAAGGAGAAAGGAACCTCATCACTGACCTACCAGGCCTCCTAATTTGCTGAATTCCCCTGACAGCCACTCACAATAACGTTGCCAGTTAAATGCTTTTCCCCTCTTATAGTAAGAGGTGCCATCTGGTAACTTCTATTTTGGTTTCCTTGTCAGAATTTGGCTTCTGCCAGCAGGGAAGCAGCTTGTCTGTCATTGATTCCCACCAGAAACCCAACCTGCCTTTTAGGTTAGGAGACAACAGTCATGCAATCCCGGTTTATTTAGTATAATATCTGTTTTTATGCAGTTTTGGTAAGAGAAATGTGGGTTGTACGAGACGTGGCACCTTCACAGGATCACGGAATGTCCTCAGTTGGAAGGACCCCCAGGGATCATCCAATCCAGCTCCTGCTCCTGCCCAGGACACCCCAACAATCCCACCCTGTGCCTGAGGGCATTGTCCAAACCTTCCACCACCCTTTTCCCAGCCCTCCCACCATAACCCTGAACAGTTTCTGGTTCATCTTCTTTGTCCACATCATGGATCAGGGAAAACACAATTCCCTCAGCATTCCCTCTTTGGCAGAGATCCACCTGGGACCCTGATGTCCACAAGGACACCCAGAGCTTAAGGAAACCAACCCCAAAAGATTGGTTCTCAGGTGGCAAAGACAATTCCACCACCCTAATAAACAAGGGTCCACCCATCCATGGCCAAACTTTTCATCAATAAACTCTTTTTTATCCATATTTATGCATACAAACACACATATATTCGTACATACTGAGGCCAGATTTGTGGCTCCTGGTTTTCCTACAGCCACAAGCATTTCCAAGCCCACATGAAACTTCCCTTTTCACACTTCTAATCATCATCTTTGCCTGGAAGCCCAGGTTTGCCATTTCAGCTTCAGGGAGACGAGGCACAAAGACCTAAACAATCCACACAAAATAAACCAAAACACTTTCCCTCATCTCTGCTGCCCTGGTATTTATTGAGCTGGGGCAACCATGGCTCAAAACAGAAAAATTCTGCACTTTATCACTGAAAGTGATAAAAGGATTTTTGGTTTGGGGTTAGAGTTTGGGTTTTATATATTTTTTTGATGTTTCATTTTGAACAAATGACACATGGGCTTTATTTTAACTGTTGGAATGAAATGGTTTGATATTTTCCCACCTAAAACAAACCAGGGAGGTGACACATGGGGGATGAAAATTAAGGTAAACTCTGGGCTGAGAAGAATTCACCAAAACTTGCAAAAAAATAATGAAGGTTTAGCAGGACTAAGCATTTACTTCTGGAGAACTCACCCCTCTTGCTCTCGATGGCAATCTGGATTTCTTGGCTTCCCATCAGACCTTCCATGTGCTGATGGACAAGCACTATCAGCTGCCACCCAAATTATTCCACCCCAAAATCCATGCAAATCCCTCTCAGATGCTCCAGGGTAGATTTGTTCTCTTCCAGCCCGTATTTTTTAACATCAGCTTGGCCACAGACAAATAACAACCAACAGTGGAACCAAGAAAGCAGCTCCAGCAGCAAAAATGAACATTTCTTGGTTGATTTGGACACGACACATAAAAAAACACTCTGAACTTTTTGAAACACAAATTCCTATTTTTTTCTAATGTTAATCAGTGTAAAAAATAAACACCAAAACCCGGTGGAGGCTCAGATGAAATAAATTCCAAAATTAGAGAATAAAGAGTGCTATGAATAAACCCCTTCTGTTATTTAATCCTATGGATTCTGACTACCTAATTTTTATGAAAAGGGCTATTTCTTTCATTTCATTACTATTTTTTTTCAGAGATAGAGAGTTTGGGGAAATAACCAGCTTTCACACACGGCTTTAAAGTAAGTCCAGGGAAGGAAATTTCCATGAGGAAGTAGCAGGCAGTGGTTTTGTTGGGTGTTTGATGATGTTACCACTGCCACAAATGTTTAAATATAGAACAGCCAGGCAGCTGCAATTAGCTAATGCAAGACTTTGACCTAATGCCACTGGAGAATTTAGATCCATTTTCCATTCCCACTCCTTCAGAAGGCAGAGGGTTTGCTGGAATTTGAGACTGGGGGGGGGGCTTAATTTGCATTAAACTTGTTGAGGCACCAAAACAAGCTGGCCAGGTACGGAATTTAAGGCTCAAATTTAGGATTGTCCACCTGGAAAATGAGCCCTGTAGTCTTCTACTTCTCCAGCACTCCTGAGTCCTCTCCCTGCTTTGGTGTTTCTGCCAAATGAGGTGACTGTGAGGACTATTTTTATGATGCAAATCTGGGGAACTCCAGGCCATTTCTATCATTCTTACAAAGAATAGCTTTTAATATTAAGCTTGTGTTAGTTGATACAAAAAACCCCCTCCATGTCTAACCTCAATCTCAGTTCAGAATTACCTAGGAGTCATCTGGACTTTTTATTTTAAAAAAGCCCAACCAAACAGGACTGACCACAGAATCCACAAGGACTTTGGGGCTCGGCTCAGTTGGGCAGCAAGCTCAGCCTCCCAAAGAAAATCCACCACAACCCCCCCAAATCCTGCAGGAGATGGCCAAGTGTGCTGTTTTCCATGGGGAGAGGAGAGGAGCCACCCTCGCTGCCCAGCTCAGCTCTCACTCATGAACCCCCCAGAGGAGGATACAAACCCTTTCTGATGTGAAATAGGAATACATTTTCGCTCCCAAACACAAGAAAAATCCAATAAATAGGGAGTGTAGTTAAAGTCAAAACACCATCTTAAATAGGTGATGTCCAAAACCAGAGAAGGGGTCAAATTATTTAGATTGGGTCATTCTGCAGGATTCTAATGTAGGCAATGAACTGCATCCCAGTGGAAAAACAACAGCAGGAATGTTACTTGCACCTAAAGAAGACAATTGTAGAAGCAAAATAGAATTGTTTCTATTTTGCCCAAAGATATAAAATTAATACAAAACATATATTTTATATATATATGTTTATATGTAATATATTTTGTTATATATTGTTACATATTATGTTATATATTATGTTATTTATGTATATGTTTATATGTTATATATTTTCTATATAAAATAAAAATATTTTTATATATATATACACACACACACACATATATATAGTAGAAGGTGTCCCTGCCCATGGCAGGAAGTTGGAATGAGATGTTCTCAAAAGTCCCATCCAACCCCAACCATTCCATGATTCTGTGATGATGACAAATGAAAAAGGAGAGAGTCAACCTCTCTGCTTTTCCATGTCCTTGTTTCATAGGATCAGAGGTGGATTCTCCCAGGCTGGAACTACTCCAAAAATCATTGCTTTGCTTTATGGTTATAAAATTCCCCACCTTCCAAAACACACAGAAGCCAAAATCACTCAAGGCCTGATTTTGGTTCATTTTTAACAGTTATAACTCAGGTACAAATAATTATGGTTTTACACCTTGGTGCTTTTTAAGACTTTCTGGAAAATGGCCATTGATGAGACAAAATCCAGGCCTCAATGGAAAAAAAAGAACAAAACCTCTGAATGTTCCTTCCCCTTCCTCTCTCCCTGCCCCTGTTTACTATAAATCATAGATGTGTATTACATACGGTCAGCTCTGGTGACAGAGGAACTGAGACAATTCCAACTGACCTTGAGGAACTGGAAGTGTTAATAAATATTTCCCAGAGTGCAGAAAAATCCCCCTCAGAAGGATTTATTTTCCATGAAGAGGTGCCTGAACCTTCCAGACTATTTACGAGAGCATGGAGCAGCAGGATAAGGGGGAGTGGGTTCCCACTGCCAGAGAGCAGGGTTAGGTGGGATAGTGGGAAGGAATTCCTGGCTGGGAGGGTGGGGAGGCCCTGGCACAGGTTGCCCAGAGGCTGTGGCTGCCCCCTGGATCCCTGGAAGTGTCCAAGGCCAGGTTGGAGCAACCTGGGACAGTGGAAGGTGTCCCTGCCCATGGCAGGGGGTGGAACTGGGTGAGCTTTGAGGTCCCTTCCAACCCAACCCATTCCAGGATTGTATTTGAGTCTGGACACCCTGCTCACCACAGCCTTGCTCAGGAGCCTTTTCTCCTGCTCTCCAAGGGCTCCCAGCTCTGTGGGAACACAGGCTGTGCAAGTACAAACTATTCCATTCGCTCTGGAGACGTAAAGCTTTTCCCTAAACACACCTGTAGGAGCTGGACACCAACTCTTCTGGAACTCTTGTGTCCATGACTCACCAACTGATTTCTTGCTGCCCATGTCTCCTGTTGAACCCCCTGTGTGGGCACAGCCTCTGTAATGACAAAGCTGTTTTTCCCAGGGGTTTTTGCTTGCTGTGCATTTCACCACACGTGCATTATTCAGACAGAAACCTGGATATCTTCACATCACATTAAATAACAACCAACTCTACAGCAGCACTCGGGAGCTGAGCTGCAAATGCTTCAGCTTGCTGGGTATGCCCAAGGTCCTTGCTTTTTTCCCAGCCAGATCCATTCAAACCACCAAAAATAGCAGCAGCTGTTGCTGA